GACATGTCTTAGTTTTCAGAATGGATGCTGTATATTTACTTTCATTAAGTTTGAGTGTACAAAACATTAGCACCCTTACGATATTCCACCTTCCTGTGTTGAAGTCTCCACTCCAATGCCAGTATCTTATGTATTGTCTCATATACCTACATTTATTAACTTTTTAACATAACTTAGAAGCATCTTCCTTGATGATCTGGAAAATAAAACTCCTATCTTCTTGTTAATTGTCTTAAGAATTGGCTTTATTCAAATTGGAATTGTACCAATCAGCTGAGGGTTTGGCTACAGCAAATCGCTAACTTAGAGGAATAAAACCTCTGTAAAACTCCACGATTGGAACTAATAAAACCCGGAGGAGTTATGTAATATATGTTTTTAATATACAGTACATAACAGGTGAAATGAATAGGTGTCCTAATGTTTTGTACACCCAGCACACAGGACTGCGGGAATGTGCAGCAGTGAACCTCAGCTTATGTTAATGAATGCTGCCATGGAGCTTATTCTTTTTTTTTTTTGCTGAACCCATAATGGCATAACCCATTATTTGGTTTGTTCGTGGGATATCGCAGCTCAACTGGCGGGGGGGTGGGGGTTTTTTACCGTGACCAAAGTGTGTATTATTAAACTGCCGCGGCTGCAGAACGTCCCTCCTGACCGGCTGAGAATTTGATCAGATGTACTGCGAGGAATCTTCACGAGTCAATTTTGGAGACCATTTTTATTTTTTGAATTTGATTTCTCCTCAGCTGTAGTTTGGCAACAATCCAGTGAGATTTACTGCGACTCGTGCTGCGTTGACCTTTACACATCAGGATTTGAACAGCCCGACAGGACAGTTATCTGAATGGATGGCTTTTATATATTTTCCATTCTTCTAATCTAATGTGATGTAATAAAGAAAGTTAGATGCAGAGGAAAGTGCTCTCTGGCAGTGTGTTAGACAATAACAAACCTCCAGCTGACGTCAGCAAGCTTTGATGATTTCCAACACAACAAACGACCCTTAAAATAATTAGAATTCATGTTTCTTTCTCTTCTTTTGGGGTTATTGTGTTTCAAAGCAATCTGTGATGAAGATACTCAGGACGTATTTTATGTAATCTGCTCGTTGTGTGGTTGTTAGCAGTCGGAGCCCGATGTGAGTTTCCACCCTCGGTCACGGCTGTCAGGCGTAGCGTGAGCTCTCTTGCTCATTCATGCTCATCCTGTTTCTGTGTGTTTGTCCCCGACCAGCTAACTACGCCGCTGCATTAATCACATTCATGAAATAAACAGCCTGACAGCTCCTTAATACACTCTGGAGGAAAAGGGAACAAAATGAGAGGGAAGCAGTCGGGGTGAAAGTGGAAGACTGCCCTTGGGCAACAGTTCATAAATGTTCCATAGTCAATAAATGGAGGAGAAAAGCATGCTAAGATTTTGAGGTTTACTTTAATGTTGAATTGTGCAGAATGATCCATAAGTACCCATAGTCATCCTGAAACCCTAGTTTGAAAGACCCTTATTTGGTTTAATAATATTAATAATAATATAACTAGTAAATATTAAATAACAATAAACACAACAGATGTTAGGACCTTGTTACATTTAATCCTCTAAATGGGATTTTGGAATTGCAGTTTTAGAAGGCGATGGTTTGATGTCAATTTGTTTGCTAGGAATCATCATATACTCAAAAGACTGATAAAGCATAAATAATGGTGGTGTCTAAGCATGGTTACTAGCAACATTATTACCTAGCAATCCATCCATAAATCTGAAGGCCGCATCTTGATGCTTACCCTCGATTTTCGAAAGCCTTAACAATTAAAGTTCAATGCCTAACCTTAACAATCTGGCGAGAGTTTAACAAGTCATGGTAAAGGTCTTCTCCTGCAATTAACTAGCAATCGAACCCTCTTCAGAACAAGGTCACCCTTCTTTCTATATGTCCTTGAAGAGCTTCAATCTGTAAAAGATGCTCGTTGACTTTGACCCAACCGTGACCCGCTTTCTAACCCTGTTCAGGCAAAGTTGTGGTCTTAGCTAGCCATGAAGCACACTTACACTGCTTTCCAGTTAAAAACCAGGATGTAAATGTCATACTTAATCAAAACCAGTCACTAACTAGATAGTGTGCTAGCTAATGAATTCACTATCTAATTCTATATTAGCGTGATAACTAACTTGTGTAGGCGACACAATCATGACCTGCTTTCTAACAACATTCTAACACATTTGTGGTGTTAGCTAGCGATGAAACACAATTGAAAAAAAAGTCAGAACAGTGATAACCAGTTGAACATCTGGGAGTAAGATGTCATGTTAACTCACAACCAGTCACTAACTAGATAGTGTGCTAGCTAGTTAGTTCAACTCCATGCTAGCTTGATGGCTAACTTGTGCGGTGTAAATTAAGAGGCATATGATGTGTCCATAGCTTTAAATTAAGGGATACAAAGCAAGTAATCTGATTTCTTACCTCCTCTATGAACTCCCTACTACCATCACAATAGATCATAATTAGGACTATGGTTTAACTGTTTTGTTTTCTTTGTATTGTTTCTGTTCTGATTTTATGTAAAGCTTCTTTGAGCATTAGGAAAAACACTATAGAAATCCCATGTATTATTATTATTATTATTATTATTATTATTATTATTATTATTAGTATTGTTATTATTACTATTATTATCATTATTATATTATTATTATTATTATTATTATTATTATTATTATTATTACTATTACTATCATTATTATTATTGTTATTATTATTATTACTATTATTATCATTATTGTTATTATTATTATTATTATTATTATTATTATTATTATTATTATTATTATTACTATTATTATCATTATTATTATTATTGTTATTATTATTATTACTATTATTATCATTATTGTTATTATTATTGTTATTATT